CTGCTGCCTTCTCCAGATGCCATGCTTGAATCCTGATCATACCTTAGCAAGACTGACTGGCTTGGGTCTTTTTCCCATGGAGGGAGAGAGGGGGCAGGGCTCTCCCCTTGGCTTCTAGTGTGTGAAGAAGTAAAGGTCTAACAAGAGAATACTGTTTCTCTGCCATATGTTGCATGCAGTGGAATGTGTAGTTTACTCAGAAGGGTTGTGGGAAGGTCATGGCAAATGGAGCTGCAAGGTAGTGGGGGGAGAGAAAAAGATATTAATAGCTGTCTTGGTTTCCAAGAAAAATCAGCAGACACTCTGAACTCTGGAAAAGGGTGTGTGTCAGAGAATCACTGCCATGCTATATTTATGTCTCCTGCTGGAATATTTGGCAACTGGAGAACCGGATACTCTCCAAATGAGCAAATGCAGAGAAGCCAAAGTTCTCTCAACCCCATCCTGGGGTTTAAGCATCATCTTCAAGAAGCCAAGTGAATGATAGAGACCTATCCTGAGAGGCAAGCCTAAAAGATGGTCAGGAACCCTCAAGGAAGACCAGAAATGAGGATTCAGATGAAGCCTACCAAATGAGTAATGGTTTGAAATTCACAGAAGTTATGCAGACAAAAAACCCACAAAAGTTTAAAATATTAATAAGTAAATACTAGAACAGAGATTGTCACACTGACAAAAACAGCAGTTCATCAGTGAGCAAAACTGATGTAAGAGGCAGATGGGAAGGTCAGGCACACTGGAGTGACATCCTCCCTCTGACAAGGTCACCTCTGATTATGACAGAACTCAAAATAACCCCTCCTGTGCTTGGAATTGAACACTGGTTTACAAGTGCCAATGGATCAAATCTCACACTGTGTTCTGCAAAATGTCATTTTTGTCTTCTGATGTATGCTAGTCTCACACACACACTAACCTACACCAGACAGGTGTCAGTTTGTCTTTAAAAGGGGAAAACCCAGTTTCAATAATAAGCCTCTCTAAATTAAAACTTGCATTCTTAATATGGCAGATTTGTGATTATTCGTCATCAATAATGCAATACTTTTGGGATAATTTAAAGAGTGCGATATACAAAATCCAGACTCAAGCTGAAAAATCAGTTTGAAGTATTTTATTTCTGGGGGGACATTAGATACAGAGAGTGTTCCCCCACGTCCCCCCCTCACTTACGGTTTTATTGAATATGTGTGTCTGCTGACTGAATCACACAAAAGTAACTCCCCCTAACACCTTGTGCTATTGATTAATTGATAGATACACACAAGAACAGATTCTTTCCTGAAACATGAAAGATAAGAGCACAGAAATGTGGCTTTTAGCTCTGGTATGCAGGAAGGTGGCTATCATAATGGCCATTATAATTGCCAAGGATGAGAGAAGTTTAAGGCATCAAGAATATTCCTAAGTATACACACTCCTGATTAATAACAAGGTGTACCTTTCCCCCATTTTGTTCTGCTCTGCCTGAACACGTTTTGATTTGTCTTTTATAAGTTCATAGGTTTTCAAGTTATACAACTCGGAGAGAAGGAACGAAGAGATAGCAAGTGGATTTGTTGGCATAGCTGTTTACAAGACATCTTAGATCCAACTTTGCCACTACCTGGTTAGAAATTAGAGAATTAAGTCAAGGAAAGATAGTTGAGAATTCTAGATATGAGAAGCCAGTGCACAGAGCAGGCCAGCACTTTAAGGAAATACCTGCATGGAGGTTTGTATATATTCAGTTCTGATGCATAGATTTCCCCTGGGATGCATAGATTTTCCCTGGGATTGTCCCCAAGTTGTGTTAGGGATGCCAACTCCATATTGGGAAATTCCTGGAGATTTGTGGGTAGATGCTGGGGAGGCGGAGTTTGAGGAGGGAAGCAGCCACAGCAGGGTATAATGCCATAGAGTCCACCTTCCAAAGCAGCCATTTTCTCCCATGAAACTGATCTCTGTAGTCACATCAGTTGTAATTCCAGGAGGTCTTCAGACGCCACCGGGTGGCTAGCAGCCCTAAACTGGATAGAAAGGCTTGTTCCAAAGTCTCATGGTTCTCGGGTGTGCACAGGCCCAGTTCAGATCAGGACCACAGCATGCGGAGGGAGGATGCTTAGACCTTTCTCCTCCCCATGCTGATTTTGCTGATTTGAGATAACCCGGGGAGTTGCCATGTGCCCCAATGTAATGTGTAACTCATCAGTATACATGCAGCCCCCAGTGGTCTCTCTCCATGTCTTAGTTCTGATATGAATTATTCCTGCATATGGCTGGGAAGCAGGCACCTTCAGAACATGCCTCTCCACCTGACACGGGGACATCCCCAGAGAAAGCCCCGGTAGTCTGCACAGTAAATGAAGGGAAGCTGTGGAATCAACAGAGGCAGCATAGTGTAGTGGTTAGAATGCCGAACTAGGATCTGGGAGACCCAGGTTTGAATTCTTACTTTGCTATGGAAGCTTGGTGGGTGGCCTTGATCCAGTCATTCTCTCAGCCTGACCTACCTCACAGGGTTGTTGTGATGATAAAATGGAAAAAGGGGGAGGATGCTGTAAGTCACTTTGGGTTCCCATTGGGGAGAAACATGGGGTAAAAATGAAGTAAACAAACAAACAGATAAACAGATGACAATTCACGTAGGAAAAAGTTGTGAAAACTACTCTAAAGAAAATGTTTCCCACATTACAGATCTGGCACTAAATGGGAACCTGCAGAGAGAACCTGCAGAGTTTGAGCGCCTAGGTGCCTCTCTACCGAAATGACTTGTCACTCCAATAAATTGTCCCTTTTCCCTTTTGGGAAAGCTACCAAGGATCTTGATCCAGCAGCCTAGGCACTGGCATTTTGTATTTTGCTCTCCCTACAGCATCAGAAGAAAGATTTCTACAGGGTTGAGGATTAAAACCAGGTATGTTTCAGGACGATCCAGAATTTGGAGTCACATGAGTTTCAGTGATGAATAACAGTAATCAGATTTAATGTTATCAGTAATGGAAAGGATGAAGGAAAGGCAGCATAGTACGGCCCAATCTCATCAGATCTCGGAAGCGAAGCAGGGTCAGTATTTAGATGGGAGCAGGGCTTTTTTTTTTGTAGAAAAAGCCCAGCAGGAACTCATTAGCATAACAGGTCACACCCAGTAGCACAAACTCATAGGCATATTGGCCACACCCCTGACAACACAGCTCATTAGGCCACACCTCCATGCCTTCCCTTGGCTTAAATGGTTCCCCGATCTTTCCACAGCTCCCCCGGCCCACCCGCCTTGGAGTTGCCGGGGGGGGTTGCTCTCCAGGCCTTTCCGCTGTAGCCACACGCGCAGTGGTTTTGGCTGTAGTGGCCGTGGCCAACTCTGAAGTCAGCTGGAACTCCGTTCCTGTGCGTTCCTGCCCCAAAATAGCCCTGGATGGGAGAGACCACGAAAGAAGATTCTGAGGAGGAAGGCAATAACAAACCACCTCTGCTCCTTACTTGCGTTGAAAGCTCCTTGCTGAGGTCACCATAAGTCAGTTGTGACTTCCTGGCACTTCATGTGCTTATGTAATACAAAGGACTAATAAAAGAGAAGGGTGGACAGATGTGATGGTCCATATAAGTCCAAAAAAGGATTGCGTGCCAGGCCCGACAAATTAAATCTTGTCGTATTGACAAAGACTTGGAGAACTGAAAGCATTCAAAATCGAGGAGTTTTAGGGAACATGAATGAAATTATGAAAGTAATACAGGTTTATCCCTGAACTCTTGTGGGGGAGCGGGGAATCTCTCTTTGAAAGACTGGCCACAGTTTAGTTTATCTGCAAACAAATATGAATTTGAGTGAGTTGTGTGAGGCCAAACCATCAGAGCTGGGTACTGGCTTTAGCAACCACGGCAAGGAGAGACAGGAATGGAAGGTTGGTCCCCAGTAATGAAACAGCTCAATTCTGGAGTAAGACGCTGCCCTATACTGCCCCATTTTGTGGAATCTCTACAGAATTTCACTCTACCTTCCACCCCCACTTGCAGTCTCCCATTTCAGAGCTATAATTAGTTTCCTGCCAATGACTAAAGTGTCAGACTACAGGGAGGAAATGAGTTGGGGGCGGGGGAGTGCAGGAGTAGAGGGGTTTCCCCATCTAGAATAGATGATGAACACTATACTCCACAATTAAGAAGGATATGTTTACACATCTGTTGCCAATTTTGACGTATTTATTTGCCTCACTGGAATTAAATACAAACAATTATGACCTTATAAAATTAGCTTGTTATTCTTGTTTGCATGTGTTAAAACATTTCATTATACTGTATGCTAATTTGTTGTTCAGTCTCTGCCTTATATGTACGGACTGGTAAATTCCATTTCATTGTGTCTGAGGAAGTGTGCATGCACACAAAAGCTCATCCCGTGAATAAAACTTTGTTGGTCTTAAAGGTGCCACTGGACTCAGACTTTGTTCTACTGCCCTGATTTACCATTGTCAAAAAAAAAGAAAAAAAGAGTTACACTGTCGTACAGGGAGGGGTTTAATGTTCCCTTTCAGAGTATTGTTAACAAAATTAGTGGTTTTTCCCCAGCAAAATTGGGTTTTGCTGAATCATCCTGCTTCTTAATCACCATGCAGTAGAACGGAAAAGAGAAAATGGTCCTTCTAACAAACTCTCCATGCTGAGAGGTCTGCCCACTCAAGCAAGGGGGAGAGGTCAACGGAT